CATCTCTTGGAGTTCAATCTGTTAATTCTTTATAAAGCAGTGAAGTATCAGTTTTTTCCAATGATATAATAAGCAACACTGGAAATTAAATCCCAAAGCAGTGCATCTTTAGTTTGTTCAGTAGATAGTAGGACATCCCACAAGCCATCATATATTTACAACAGTTTTTATACTCAATCTATTTTTTTCAGCAGTCTTTTGGGAAATATCCCCAGATAATTTACTAAATAAGTGCATCTATCTTCTAAAAGACATTTGGAATATTTCTTAGTCTGACCTCTGCACTCTGAGACACTCTATAAAGGAAACAATCAGAAATATTTAACAAAGAAATAAATAGGTTAAGGAGAAAGCAATCTAGGCGTTTGCACAGAGCTTGCTACAGTGCCATGGCTACATTTAAGAGCTGTAGTTCTTTCTACGTTTTAACTGAGAGCCACTAGTTATAATGTTATTTAAAATCTCTGCATTAAATAAGACAGTTACTGAACAACTAAAAAAATACAAAATATCATAAAAGCAAAAAGTAGCAATTCATGCGCGCGCACGCTTGTGTTTAAGAAACAAAACGTTACAGTTAACCCTTACAATTGCTCTCATTCCACTTCACCATCTCATCCTGCGCAGTTTGCCTCCGGAATGCCGCGGTAATCTCTCCTCAGTGCAGTAAGAACAAAGGCCAACACCCTCTGCAAAGGTGTTCTGCAGCGTCGTGGTCCAGGGATTTTAGGACTACGACGATCTTTGGGGGGACATCTGTCTTCGCTTGCATGTCCTCTCTTACCCCTCTGCTATCTGGTGGAGCTGGGCACGGGTCCCCAGCGCTTCCAGAGAGTGTGGTTTCCGCTCTGGATTTGCCAAGCGGCCAGACAAAAAGCACCGAGCACTTTCTGAAGCCCACCTCAGCCCTCGTCCACTTTGTCCTCAGTCTTCAGGTTTTCTTCCCCACCCCCCCCCCACCCCCCGCTAGGGCCTAACCTGTGGTTTCACCAGAACTCCTCAGCAGACAGTGGGGTGAACGCATGGACTGCCCCCACCCAAATGCCAATCACGACTGTCTTCCACTCAGCGCTGGAGTCATCCATTGGAAGATTAGTAGCCACCAGGGTTGGTCAAGGATTTCATATACACTTTCCCTGAGAAAACCCGGAAAAGCAAACGACACCTGAACTTCACACACTCCTAAGTATCACTGGAAATCCGCCTGTGTTTGGCTTCACGGTGAGTGTCGAGGGCCGGATCCAGAAAAAAAAAAAAGTATGGAAGGTTATTCCTGGTAGGCTCCCCCTTCCTGCGAGTCTCAGACAGCCTGTAGGTTTACAGGCTTCCTGCTGCTCCCCTTTTGCAGCCTTCATCTAATTCGGTGGGTGGGGGTGGGGAATTGGGGAGGAAAATAAAGTCGTTGTGGGCGGCTGGGGAACCCGGTGTCAGTCCCCCGCAGCCGCGCGCAGGTACCCTGCAACATCGCAGTGGCCCCTCTCCTCAGCCAGGTCCAAGGGCAGACGGCCCCAGGCATCGCGCACGTCCAGCCGTGCCCCTGCCCGGTGCAGCATCACCAGCGTGTCCAGGAAGCCCTCCCGGGCAGCGTCGTGCACCGGTCGGGTGAGAGTGGCAGGGTCCGCACAGTTGGGCTCGGCACCGTGAAGCAGCAGCAGCTCTGCCACGCGGGCACTGCCCATCATCATGACCTGCCAGAGAGAGCAGAGTGGTCAGAGCCAGGGTGGAGTCAGGTGTGGGAGGTGCCGGCCTGGGTGAGGTGGGCGGAGCCTTTAAACAAACACCTATTTGTGAAGTATCCACCCAGTGCAGAGGTGTTCAAGTCTCCGGTGTCTGGTGTTTCTTCATTTGCTGATGCAATCTGCTTTCCCACCCCACCTTCAGGTTATACTCTACTCAGTACAAATTAAATGCCATTTTATTTTCTAAACGTGCAGAGACAAGAAAGTTGATGGTAAAGTGATGATCGTCATTGTGGAAAGCAAATCTTGATTTCCATCGGAACATGGGAATCTATTTTGTTAAATGATTTATAGGCACAGTTAAATTTATTTGGCTTTTAAAGTTTCAAATTATTTGCCTTGCTGACCCCTCCTCCATAATCTAGGTCTCAAAATATTTACTAGGAAGCCAACTACTGTTTGTCAGAAGTTGGGAGTAATGGTTTAGGGGAGAAAATCAACCACTATGTTTTTAAAAAAGTTTAGTTCTCAGCAAATCCTGCGGGGAAGGCTTTTATCTTGTGTCTGTGTTCATAAAGAGATTGTAGTGTGAAATTTGAGCCAAAGTTGGAGATTAGAAGGGAAAAGTAAATTAAATCATGCAAAATCTTATAAAATTGTGAGAACAAATGATTTTTGTTAAACAGTTCATCATTTTAAATTTAGAGTGTAATATATTTAATGTAATGTAAAACTAACAATATATTTATATTTTTCCATGTACTATAGGATTGTATAATAGCTAAGATTTTATAACGTTAAATAGTAAATATTTTGCTATATAAAAAGAGCTTGGGCCAGGTAATGTAATCCCAGCACTTTGGGAGGCGGAAGTAGGCAGATCACCTGAGGTCAGGAGTTGGAGACCAGCCTTGCCAACATGGTGAAATCCTGTCTCTACTACAAAAAAAAAAAAAAAGAAGAAAGAAAAAAAATTAGCTGGGAGTGGTGGGGCCGGTCTACAGCCCCCAAAACTCGGGAGGCTGAAGCAGGAGAATCACTTGAACCTTGGAAGCTGAGGTTGCAGTGAGCTGAGATCATACCACTGCACTCCAGTCTGCCCAACAGAGTGATGCCCCATCTCAAAAAAATAAAAAATAAAATAAAATAAATAAAAAGAGCTTGGATGTCAGCAGTCAATCAGGATGATGCATAACTTAGAAAAAGCGTTTTGCAGGAGTAATCCTATAGCAGCCATTTGTGTACATGAACATTATCAAAACATTTGCTGACATATTTTAAGTTAATTATAAGACAGTTTTTGGTAAATGTCCCAAATCAAGTTATGGGTTTATGTACTTTAAAATGTACCATTTAATTGAAAGGCAGTATACTTCTCATGTTTTGTTTGCTTATTTCATTAATATTAGAAATGTTCATTTCCTCCCTTGAAAACCATGATGTTATTTTTTTACTAGCGATGTAAGGTATTTTACATAGAAAACAGAGGGGAAAATAGCTGTTCTTAGTATTTCAGAAAATGGTGAATTATATATATAACTTGTTTTTATAATTATTAATAGAATTTTAAGTTTTAAAAAACCACTTTACAATATTTTTGCTCCTTTAAAATATCCCTTATTTGTTATACCTCTATTCTAAGAATTCAAAAGAAATGGACACTTCTATAAAATCTACACTGTAACAAGATCCCTTAGTATTAGCTTAGTTTTGGAGGGTGATAGTGAGGTGAATACTGAATATGACCAATAGCCAATGGTAAAGTACAAAAGTGTTGTCCTAAGATTGTAAAAGAAATTAAAAATATCAGTACTAATTAAAGCAGGATTTGTAAACATTGAATACAAGTACTTTAACAATGAAGATAAAGATACCTTATTTATGAAGATCCTTTGTCATTCAGAAAGGACCTAACAGTAGCTGCAGGAATATTTTTGTAATCTGAGCACTGAGTATGATAATTAAATGAAAAATCTATAGAACTATATGTATATATTTTTCTCTTATGCATCACTTATAAGACATTGCTAACATAAAAAGAACTAAGTACTGTGGTTGAGGAATCCAGTCTTATTACTTTGAATTCAATTAACCTTTATGAGAAAACAATACAACAGATTTCATATAGTAGCTTAAAACTTTACATTGAATTTTTTCCATGTACTATGATTTTGTAGAATTCCTTAAATCCAATCCAGAATGTATAACTTAGTTTACTTATCTGTATCGTTGAAAGCAGGCAGACAAGTCTTCCTCCCCAAATAAACTTTCCCTTTCTCCTTTTTTTCCCAATTCAATCTATTCCTTGCATTTCTGATCATGAGATGGCAGAAAACAATATTTTAAAGAAAAGCTGAAACAGTGGGTTTTTCAATCTCTCTCTTTAGGATTTTTGTTGGGTAAAAGCCTGTTTTATGCCTGGGCTGTACACCTCCGGCCAAGGGAGACTGCTGCGTAAGTCTACACCGGCGATCTAGGTTCCAGCCCCGACCCACCGAGGCCGCGCCCCGCGTTCGCGCGCCCCCTGCCGGCGAGGCCCCGGGGCCCAGCTACCTGGATTGCGCTCCTCCCAAAGCGGTTGACTCCGTTGGGATCCGCGCCGGCCTCCAGGAGCTGTCGCACCTTCTCCACTTGTCCTCGCGCCGCGGCGCTGGCCAGGTCCTCATCGCTGCCGCCCCCACTGGGCATGCCCTTGTTCTCCTCGCGCATTCCGCAGCCCCCAGACGCGCAGCGGCCCGGGTAATCCACCGTGGGCGGTAAACTTAACGACACTCCTCCCTTCTTTCCCACGCCGCTCCGGCGCACTGTCTTCCTGGGAGAGTTGGACTCAGCTTCATTCCCCTCCGCCGTGCGTCTGCGGCTTGCGGCCCCGTTCGATGTCAGAGCGGCGGGTATTAGCTCCGGGCTTTTTCCTGGCCCCAAGAACCACCCGGCGCGACTGGATTGCTTCTGGGAAAAAGCGCCTCGCGCGGCCGCAGCCGAGCTCAAAGCGGCTCTGGCCGCAGGGTGCGGACGCGTCGCGGAGTCCTCACTGCCCCGCCTTGCTCTGGCAGAGTGGGGAGCCAGCCGGCAAAGAATTCAGTTTTCAGCTGGGCCAAGGGGCCTGCCTCTCCCCTCCCCCTTAGGCTCCGCCCCCTGCCCGCCTGCTCGCGGGAAGGCCCGGCCCGGTCGACGCGTCACGGCGGCGGGGAAGCCCGCCCAAAGGTGCTGGGACGCATGCGCCAGAGACTGGGCCGGGGAGCCGCCGGGACGCCGGCAGCACTGCTGGCTGGATGTCCAGTAAATCCAAGGCTAAGATTTTGGGAATGTTGACCCACTGCCCTCAGCTTCTAATTCCCAGTAGGCGGAGCAGAGGACTTCTGTTCCGTCAGCCTTAGGCCAGTTGGTTTCACTTGAGAGACGTTGGTGGCTCCCTTGTGGCTGAGAGAAAGGCACTGAAAATAACTCCGTCTTTCTTAAGATGTCTGAAAGCGACAGCTCTGCACCTGTCATACAAGTTAAATTCATCCCAGGCAGTACTTGAACTTCGTAAGTTTCATATCTTGTGTCAACCTTAGCAATTTTCTTTTGGACGTGTCTTCCTATTTGAATTAGTCAACCATAATAATAGAGAAAAATTCTGAGAATCCTGTTTTGCATGTGCCTTTAAATTCTTTCCATCTTTGCATTATGAATATAACCCTCAAAAAAGAAAAAAAAAACTAGTTAGAGATTGAGAGTGGCAACCTGGAACACATAGACAAAAAAAATTTATACTTTAAGAATCTGAGATCCCAGTTTCATCATATTTGTACAGCAAATCTTTGTTTGCACTCTTACCTGTTTAAATCCACTTTGTCAAGCATTTAATTTTTTATTTATCGTGAGTAGTAAAGGAAATTTATGCAGTAATGATGAAACATAATAAGAGAAGGGTGTGGTGCTGGGCCTGTCATTAAACAGGCTGAACCTGTTATTAAATTCTCTTCTGAAGATTTAAATGCCAAGTGCCTTTTTTCCCCTTTCTAATCTTCCTAGGTGAGTTTGAATCAACATTTATTATATTATTTTAAAAAATTTCAGCTGATGCTAAATTGGCTAGGAAGAAAACAACAAATTATGGATTTGTTGCCTAAAAACTTTGGTGAGGAACTACACAAGTGAACGTCTCCTTAGAGTGAACAATTTTTATTTACAGAATCATTTTGGTTCAGAGTGCTGAGGAAGACAAAGTTTTAAAAGGAGGGCAATTGGTTGTATATTGCAAAATGAGAGTCTCCACCTGTTTCTTCTAGGATACCTCAGCTCTGACTCCTCATCACCCAAATCCCTGTAGCATGAGAGAAAGCTTTCTTTTAAAGGAAGTGGTGCCCATGGAAGTGGTGGTTAGGGCTGAAAATCTGATGGAGCCTCAACAGAGCTGAAATCTACCTGGACAGGGAAGGGAACTGCTTAACATTAATAACAATTTCTTTGTCTTTACCATCCAACCTCAATTTCGTAGTCTTCAGTTTCTTAATTCCTCTACCTTTCACTTTTATTCAAACTTCCATGTTTCTGTGAAAATGCCCTTTTATTTGTTGATGGCTACTCCATTTTTAGATTTGACTAGAGGAACCAAAGTCTACTTCTGGGTGAAACACATGAACAGATTGCTTTTGTCTTGGGAATCAGTCCCCATGCATAGTGTATTGGGGATAACAGAGGTGTAGGTAGAACAGGAGAAAGAGGAGGAAAGATGGGCAGTGGGAAGCAGGAGTCTTTAAAATGAATGACATTGGTTCTTTACCATTCACCCTGAGGGGCCAAGCCACTAGCCTGGTGTGGTGGATGTGGTGGCAAAGACACAGTCCAGAATATCTTCATCAGAAAAGCCGAGGTACTCCAAAATGTAGTGCACAGTCAAATGCAACAAGGGAGGTTGCCTTTTTGTTATTGGGATCTTGTCTCTCATAGATACAGTTATTAAGTTTAGTTCAAAGTAAGTAATGCAGCATGTCCTATATTCTAGAAGTTCAAAGTTGAATAAGACATGAGTCCTCACTTTTAAGAAACTCTGTAGTGGCACTAGAAACTAATAAATAGTTTCAATTTAATGTATATCCACAAGGTGCTTTGGAAGTAAGGAAGACCGGAACCTAATTTAGGGTGAGGGTACAAGGAACGTTTCTAAGAGGAGATGCCAATCGAAGAGAGTTTTCAAAGGATGCATCATAAATGAATGTGTCTAGAGGCTGGGTGCAGTGGCTCATGCGTGTAATTCCAGCACTTGGTGAGGTCGAAGTGTGTGGATCTGGATCGCTTGAGCTCAGGAGTTTGAGACCAGCCTGAGCAACATGGAGAAACTCTGTCTGTACTAAAAACACAAAAATTAGCTGGGCATGATAGTGCACGCCTGTAATCCCAGCTACTCAGGAGACTGAGGCAGGAGAATCGCTTGAACTCGGGAGGCAGTGGTTACAGTGAGCTGAGATCGCACCACTACACTCCAGCCTGGGTGACAGAGTAAAACTCGGTCTCAAAAAAGAAAAATGTCAAAGCAAGAGCTTTGACCTTGAGTTTCTCTGAAACTTATCAAAAAAATTAGGACAAGATAGTCTGAGCGAATTCCTGAGCCAATTTCTTAGGTGGTAAATGTGTCCGAAAAATGAAAACTGTAGTTGATAGGGAAATAGAAGATAATGTTCTTCTTTGACGGGAGCACAAAGGATGGTGATAGGGAAAGAACTAATGGGTAAGTATAATGACGAGACAGATGTGTGAGCTTCGCTAAGCAAGTCGGCTGAAAAACAACTTTGGGTAGGGAAAATGATGCCGGGGGCCTTCGCGCTTAGTAGCACCACGGACAGCGCTTTGCTTATACTCACAGGCCTGGGTGGTCCTAACCTGTTCCAGACAGGATTCTAAAGCTTCAAACTGTATCTTCCAAAGCCCCTTTTCTCCATTAAATAGAAAGGACCTTATGGGAGCTCAATGGATTTCTTTGAAAAATCAACCTGTTCAACCTGGTTTCCAAATATGGTTAGATTTTATCTAATATTCCCTGTATAAAGAATATCATACAGTCTATATTTAGAAGAAGAGAAATACCACTTACTGTGTAATCTGTCCCAAGTGCTTTACAACTGTTCCTTCCTTCCTTCCTTCCCTCCTTCCCTCCTTCCCTCCTTTCTTCCTTTCTTCCTTCCTTCCATCCTTCCCTTCTTTCTTTTTGACAGTCTTGCTCTGTTGCCCAGGCTGGAGTGCAGTACAGTGGCGTGATCTTGGCTCACTGCAAACTCTGCCCCCTGGGTTCAAGTTATTCTCCTGCCTCAGCTTCCTGAGTAGCTGAGATTACAGGCGCAGCTACTACGCCCAGCTAATTTTTGTATTTTTAGTAGAGACGGGGTTTCACCATATTGGCCAGGCTTACCTCGTGACCTGCCCGACCCGGTCTCCCAAAGTTTTGGGAGTGACATTACAGGCGTGAGCCACTGTACCTGGCCCGTTGTTTCATTTAGCACTCATAAAACTCCTTGTGGAATGTGTCCATATTTCAATTATACAGACAAGCCAAAAGGATCAGAAAAGTTGAGTGACTTGTATACTAGCTAATCATTATTGGTGATGGGTATAACTTGTGCAACTTCAGAGTCTTGTTACCCTTTATACTACATAGTGTTTTTAGCAGCTGTCATGGTGGGCTTAACTGGAAAAAGAGTAATAAACTAATGTAATTATTATTCAGTCTACACTGTGTTTTCCAGATGGCTCACCTCACAGCACACCCTTAATAGACTTCAAAGATGACACTTCTCATGTAATACAATAGCACATTTGTCTTGGACAGTAGAGTGAGATTATGAAACATTTTACCTCTCTTTGAAACCCAGCTGTCTCTAGGGTGAAACACAATCTGTTGTTAATGCTTTAAACACATTTAAAAGATGAAGTGGTTGGGAACATAGTGGGCAGCTGAAACTTGGACTTCTCAGAGCCATGTCTTTTAATATGGTGAATAATTTATAAGTGAGAAGAAAAAGTTAATGGCAAATTGGCTTAGAATTTTGGAGGTTAGTGGGAGGAAATGAGTAGTATCTGTTCCAATGTTGCACGTAACTTAGATCACTAGAAATAATATTTTTATATTCTAGTTGGTGAAACTGTCTGTATATGACCTCTCCAAAAATGTATGAATAGAACTAATTGACTGGCTAAAGGAAACAGTGACCTAACCTTGCCCTCATTTGTGTGCTCTTTTGCACATTGTTAGGTCTAAGATAGTGTTTCTAAGTGAGAAGAGAAGGAAATTTATAATCACTTTGGGGCCCTTTTCAAATTTTATATGACCCACCTTCCCACCAGGTGGTTTGATTTTCTCCATTTTATGAGTTGGGAATTATTGCTCCATGATCCACAGTATCTACTGCCATATTCCCAGGTGTTTTTCAAGATTAATTAAATGGTAGACTTACTCATCATTTTAGCATCTGTATCAGTTTGCCAGCACTGCCATAACAAAATACCACAGACTGAGTGGCTTCAACAACAGATATTTATTTTCTCAGTTTTAACTTCTCCTAAGGCCCCTCTTCTTGACTTGCAGATGGTCATCCTGCTGCTGCCTATTCACATAGTCAGCACACATAGTGTGCACACATGCCCCTGAGTCTCTTTTGTGTGTCCTAATTTCCTCCTCTTTTGAGAACACCGGTCAGATTGGATTAGGGCCCACCCCAATGGCCTTATTTTAACTTAGTCACTTCTTTAATGGCCATATTTCCAAATATAGTCACATTGTGAGTATTGGGATTAGGACTTTAACATAAGAATTTTGAGGCAACAATTCAGCCTTTAACAGCATCTTAATTTTTACACATTTTACTTTTCATTTCTTTTAAAACTATTGTTAATAATTTATTCATTTGAATAAGGATTAAAATAAGGCTAGCACATTGAAATTGGCTGAAATTGCTACCAGTCTGTTGTATCTCTCTCTCCCTCTTTTTTTCTTTAAGGGATGGGTTACACCTTGTCAGCCAGGCTATAGTGCAGTACCATGAGCAAGGGTCACTGCCACCTCGAACTCCTGGACTGAAGGGATCCTCCTGCCTCAGCCTCCAAAGTAGCTGGGACTACAGGTGTTGGCCACCATGACTGGCTAATATTTTTACTTTTTGGTAGAGATGAAGTCTTGCCATCTGGCCTAGGCTGGTCTTAAACTCCTGGATTCAAGCAGTTCTCTCACCTCAGCCTCCCAAAGTGCTGGGATTACAAGCATGAACCACTGTACCTGGCCTCTTGTTTCCTGTTAATCTACAGTTTCCCCTTTTCGCCTTCTTTTTTTTCTTTCAATTTATTTCTTGCAGAAATTGGCTTTTTCTGTAGTTTCCTAAAGTTTGCATTTTGTTGAATGATTCTTTATGATGACACTTAACATTTTTCTTTGTCATTTGTATTTCTCATAATTTATTATTTAAGCCTAGAGTCTGGATGTGATTCAGGTTTGATATTTTGGCAGAAGTATTTAAAAAGTGGTATCATGTACTTTCACCAAGAGACACATAATA